CTGCCAGTTCTACTTTTCTATAAATACAGTCCTCATTTTCAAGGAATGTGGATAAGATCGCTGCAGTTGACTATTTTGGGGAGGCACTGCCTGTTCTATTTCAGAGGGGATGTGATCTGTCTTCATTCCCGGGGCAGGTGTAGAGATGCATTGTGGACACCATTGCAGATTCACTTAAGAAGCTGAATGTGTCAGGCTCACAGCCTCACAGGCCCTGGGCAGGGCTGCAGAGGGTGGACTGAAAGGCACTCAGGGATCATCTTCCTGAGGACCCATTATTTTATGTTCTATCCATTCCCGTTTCCCATCTGCCATCCTGTGATGCAGGGCTGCTGCTGAGAACAAATCCTTGTTTTAATAGGACTTTTACCACCATCTGGAGCTCAGCCCCTGGGTCTTAATGCTCAGGGCCTTTTAAGGATGGCAGCCTTCAGCTTAGAATAGGAAGGAAGTAAGAGAAGCATTTGAAGTGGAGGTCTGTGTTCAAAACATTCATCTAATAGTGATGTCAAAATTGAGGGAAACGTTGAAATCATATTTTTCCAGTGTAGTTTTCTTATTGCTATACAACTTGTAAATAAAATTTCTGGGTGTCCCCTCATATAAGGTATATTATCTACTATCAAATATTGTAATTTATTCCTTGTATAAGGGTACACCTAGAAATTTAATTACAAAGAAACACAAACCCCTGTAACAAGTTACACTTAAACCACAGTACACCTAATCATGGCAAATTATAAACATAACTCAGTCTGTAAACAATAACAAGCCAAGTAAACATTGTACTAATGTGTTTTTGTGGTTCAAAGAAGGATATAATTTTAAATACAATAGAAAGATGGACTTATTCTTTGTATTTAAAATTGTGAACCTTATTGTACATATGAAACGATATTATATACACTGAGAAAGATTTTCTCATTAACCAAACTCTACTCAGCCTCCCTTGAACTTTTTTCTTTTCTTTTCTTTTTTTTTTTGATATAGAGTCTCGCTCTGTCTCTCAGGCTGGAGTGCAGTGGCACAATCTCAGCTCACTGCAACCTCCGCCTCCCCGTTTCCAGCGATTCTTGTGCCTCAGCCTCCAGAGTAGCTAGGATTACAGACACCTGCCACCATGCCTGGCTAATTTTTATATTTTAGTAGAGATGGGGTTTCACCACGTTGGTCAGGCTAGTCTGGAACTCCTGACCTCAGGTGATCCACCCACCTCAGCCTCCCAAATTACTGGGATTAGAGGCGTGAGCCACTCTACCTGGCCTCCTTTTTCTTTAAAGTTACTACACAATAGTTATATATGTTTTGGGGGTACACATGTTATTTTGATGCATGTATACAATGTGTAGGGATCAAATCGGGGTAATTGGGAATATCCATCATCTCAAACAGTTATCTTTTCTTTGTTGGAACATTCCAATTCTTCTCTTCTAGCTATTTGAAATGTATAATAAATTGTTGACTAGTCTATTCTACTATCAAATATAATTTATTCCTTCTATCTAACTGTAGTTTTGTACTTATTAACCAACTTCTCTTCATTCTCCCTTCCCCCACCCTGAACTCCTTTTCAACTGAGCCCGACTTTGGCCTTTGATGTTCTTTCTGTTGTTCAATTTTAGCCAGGATCCTAGTAATTCAGTTCAACCAGAATCCCATCTTCAATTTTGGATCATTCTTATTATCTAATCATTAGGCTCCTCAGTCTCCACCATCTCCCAGGTGATATCTGATCACCCTGGCCTGTCTTCAGCAAGAATCCTGTTACATTAGCTTAGTGAGAATCCCCCTTACTCCTGATGCTTCCTTTCAGTAATTTTCCATGCAGGGACCCTCATTTTGCTCTTTGGTTGTAAATTCTCACTTGCCCATGCTGTATCAGAGTTGAGTCCTAACCATTTCTCCCACTGCAAGACCCTATTCCAGTGGTCCCCATACTTCTCTCAGTGGTCTTGAATAAAGACTGTCTTATCTTCAACAAGTGTCAATGAATAACTTTTTTTTTAAACAACACATACATACAAGACAAATATGTGTTTACCAACTAAAATTGGCCTCCCGATGAACATTCTCTCAATCAATTCTCATGTATATTGATTTAGATGTGACTCTTACACACACATGGAAAAGTTTGCTTTCTGTATGCGTGAGATAGGGTATCAGCTGGTCACCCAAGCTGGAGTACAGTGGCATGATCACAGCTCACTGCAGCCTTGAACTCCTGGGTTCAAGCAATCCTCCCACCTCAGCCTCCTGAGTACCTGGGAGTACAGGCATGTGCCACCATGCTAATTTTATGTTTTGGGGAGATAAGCTCTCACTATGTTGCCCAGGCTGGTCTTTAACTCCTGGGCTCAGGGATCCTCTCACCTGGGCTGCCCAAAATGTTGAGATTGCAAGAGTGAGCTACTATGCCCGGACAACTTTTTAAATACTAGTAAATCTTCAGTTATATCATGCACCCATCCATCTATCATGATATAAAGATATTCTATAGCGTGTTCTCTGCTTTCTCTAATTCAGGAGCAGAATGTATCTAAGAAAACAAAACAAAACTGCATACAAATATCACATTCAACTGCCAAGTTAATCAGTCTGACCATGGAGATCATAAAAACTTGCTTTGATCGTTAATGGTAAGAATGATTTAAGGTTAGTAACTCTGCTTGTCACATGTTTTCATTCTTTCTCCCAAACAAGCTTAAAACAAAATTTTTGAAGATGTTTAATAATTCATGAGTAATCTGATGCCCTTGTATTTGCATCCATCAGGTGGTATGTTTTCCAATGTCTCGAAGAAGTTGGCATAATGGGTCATGTGAGAAGCCTTGGGGCCTTGCCTTGTAGCCTTGTCCAACGTACTAAACAAAGCCCTTGACTTGCCAGGAGGAAATGCATCTACCACTCCATCATTCAGGGATTCAAGCTGACAAACAGCATTTACCAAAATGTGTGTATTATTACAAACCATTTTGCTTAGCAAAGTCAGGAAGAGATATAAAACACTCCCATTTTCTTTCTTGGTGTTGGTGTCTTACATTTTTCGTTGCCTAAAGAATATTTCACTTAGATTTCTTCTCTCTGAGACAATGATCTAAGTTCCCTTTTCTGTCTCACTCCTTGGAGGATACCCATTTGGAATTTTGCTCACTTGTAAATCACTGTTGTTTTAGGGATGCACAAATGACCTACAGGTTTTGCCACACCTTAAAAAACACATACAATGACAGAGAGTGGAGAATACAGAGTCATAGTGGCAGGGTTTATATGGGTGATGATTTAGAAATTTATGAAATTCAGAGGTTCATTCTTATCTCAGGAATTAACAAATATAACAACAGGATGGTGAGGCCTCCGTGTAAGAAACAGTCAGGAAACATGAGCTAGTCAGAAAACATGTCTATCATGAGAATTAAGATTCCAAGACCCTCTGCAACTTTTCTCTATTATTCTCTTTCTTTCCCCAAAGTGATTAGCATTAAGATTCTCAGATCTGTGGATTGACATTCAGGTACAAGAAGTACATCTCCTATTTCAAGGTTAGTTTGGGGGCGAGGCAAAGAGGGAGGAAACCCAAGAAATGGAAGAGGTGATGATTCTGAGCATGAGAGCAGACAGGTTGAGTTTTTGAGGCTGTAGAGGGAAGATGGAAATGAAAGCCTTGGGGTAGCCCTGGCAATGACTGGGCATGTGATTAGAAAAATCAAAACAAAGTGCCATGGACTTAGTTGTGTCCCTCCAAAATTCGCATGTTGAAACCCTCACTCCCCGTGCACTGATATTTGGAGAAAGGGGACTTTGGGAGGTGATTAGGATTAGATGAGGTCATGCAGGTAGGACACTCATGATGGAATCAGTGTCTTTTTAAGGAGAGACTCTCAACAGCTTGCTCACCCTAGCTCACGCATGTGCTGTCTCTATGCACCCAAAAAAGGCAAAGGTGATGAGTTTACGGCAAGATGGTTGCCACATACGAGCCAAGAGAAGAGGCCTCAGAAGGAGAAACCTACCTTGCTAGCAACTTGACCTTGGACTTCCAACCTCCAGAACTGTGAGAAATACATTTCTGTTGTTTAAGCCTCCAAGTCTATAGTATTTTGTTATGGCAGCCCAAACAGACCAAAACCAATGATAATCTGTATAGCTCTTCCACCGTCCGATTGCAAACCCAACAGTGTGAAGTCCAAACTCTGTGTCTTTGCCTGTAGCACATTTCCCTCTGCATACTCTTACTTATTTAAAAAACATCCACCTAAGATGCCACACAAACTCTCCACAAATGTTAACTCATATAAGGTATTATTCTTACTTCTATTTTATAGTTAGGAAACTGAGGTATAGCATTAATACACTGAGCAAGATCATATAACCAGCAAGTGTCAAATTTGAGATTCAAATCAAGGAAGTCCGGCTCCAGGAACTGTGCTCTTAACCCCTCAGCCGTGCTGACTTCCCCCACATTTATTCACTGTCCATTGAGCCACAAACTGTACAGTTATCTCTGCTACTACAATGACTCATTTGTATTCTTTGTTTTCTTGCTATGTCCAAGAATCACTTATTCAAGGTTTTTCCTCCATGAAATAACCTATTCTTATCTGCCAATAACCACATAACTTGTTTTCCGCTGTGTGTTCACTTTTACTGGAATAATGAAAGCAACAATGAATATAATACATGGATCTTCAATGCCAGAATGAAAGCATTCAATTAGAGAAAAGGTAAAGTTCTAAATTCAGATTATTCTGATCAAATAAAAAGAATGGTTCTTTTTTAAAAAGAAAAATTAAAAAAAAAACTCAGACAGGATAAAACACATAGGATATAAACGTCATTCTTGATCGTATTGAATAATTTTTAAAGACAAGAGCAATTCCACGGCTTGATATTGTTTTTCCCTTTGATTCAAACAGCTTACTGCAATTAAATTCTAATAATTAAAATAATAGAGTTGAAGCCAACTAACACCCAATGAGAAACGAAAAAACAAATCATCTTACCTGCTGATGTGTGTTTGAACTTTTCACTTTTCTTCTTCCTCCATTTCCAAGGCTTGAAAATCCTTCCCAGGTTGGCAAACTTACTTCTTCTGCGGATGGGTGGGGTGTGGGTGCCTGGGACCAGGGAGTCAGAACGCATCGCCGCCAGCCTCTCCACTTCCTCAGCTTGTTATTTCCAAGAAAGAGATGAAAATAAAGAGGAAAAAAAGTGTTAAAATGTGAGCCTCACAGATGGCCAACGTTTTCCATGGTTACAGATAACAGAAACCACATGACTAGAGTTTCTCTTTGCCTTTTGGAATGGAAGTCATGCCAGCGTGTTCTGAAGGCTGAGGGCAGTTGGCCAACCCCTAGAGATTCCGAACACCCCAACCAAATTTGCTCAAGTTCTACTTAGGCTGGAGGAGAAAAAGAAAGATGAGGAGAGCTCTCTGGACAAATCAGGGACTCCTGCCCAAAACAGGGAGAGGCCACTAGAAGACTCAAATGAGAGTCAGTGTAACTACGGGTCCGGCAATTTCCCAAATAAGACTTGGCAGATGCAATCACTACAGCATGTCTGCTGAGAAAAAAGAAGGGGGAAAACATTTATCAACTGTCTATTCTGAAGCCAATGTCTCCACCACCCACTGCCCTCTACTTCCTACTACTTCGCTTTATTACCTAGACCTTCAGCAGCACTGTAATCTGTTAAGCAAGTGACTCTACCTTAGGATTACTGATCTATTTTAGACTCACTCACAGTTCCATTGGATTTTACAATTGTCTTAATTCCACTAGTTTTTCTTTTCCTGGAGTCTTGCTTAAAAAAAAGAAAAAGAAAAAGAAATTCTTAGAAATTGAGAGCTGGGGATATCTTTAGGGAACATCTATGCTAATCTCAATAACAGAACACTTGAGGATATTCAGACTCTCAATCTCATAATGCCTAGTGGACCCTTCCTTAAAAGTCACAATCATCCCAATCTCTTTTTACCACATGGAATAAAACAAACTCTTTTCCATATTTATGGAGTTCAATACCCTAACTTGAATTTTTAAGAAAGGAATAATCAGAGAAAATAAGCTCTTTGGCAAAATTGAGGGCATAGAAGGAATTCAACTTCCCAGAAAGCAAAATGATATCTGAAGCTGTGGCAAATCCCAAACCACTCTGTTTGGCTTTGACCATCCTCCCTCAAAAAATCACCCAGACTTCTGCAACCTATACATTCCTTGCAAGTTCAACATGCCAATGACCATAAAAAATGATAATCTGCCTGATGTGGTCTGAACATAGTTTTAACTCAGGAGATACATTCATTCAACAAATACATACGGAATTTTGAGCATGTGCTCTGGCAGTTGTATTGGTGACAGATGTGATAAGCTAGTAAGAGCTCCCCACAGCAGCACTGAAAGAAGATGGAATTGAGAGACATGTTGGAAGCAAAGTCAAAAGAACTTAGTGACTGATTTAGTGACCTCAAGGATGGGAGACAGATCATTGGCAATTCCCAGATTCAGGTCAGCAGAGTGGCACCCTTCATTCATAGAGATAAGGAAGACAGGGGAGGGAGGGCACAGGTTTGTGGGTGAGGACAGCGATGACTTGGACATACTGCAAAGAGGGCACTTAAGCCTTTTACTACCTGGTTCAATGCACTGGGAGCTCCTCTTTTCAATCATTTAATTAAGTGGCCACTTAAATTTCTGCCAGACACTATGATCATTTCTGGGGAAGACATACAGGAAAACTGGTCTTGAGCACAGAGTCCCAAGGAGGCTACAGAGGAATCAACGTGTAAGAACATGTCACAACATAACTACAATGCGAAACTCAATGGAGGTGAAGAGAGAGCAACTAATTCTGCTTCACAGCATTGGAGAAGACCTAGAGGGAAGGTCACTTTGGGCTAAGTTTTGAAAGAGAAGGGACTGTTCTCCCTTCGCTGAGGGAAGAGGGAGAAGTGGATCCCTGGGAGAATAAACAGACCCAACAGGAACAGAGCAGGCTGAAAGCACGGCTGGTCTAGGGAGGTCAAGGAATTCAGTCAATCGTGAGCCTTAGTGACGTTAGGTGAGATGAAGCGCTAATGGAAAGAGACAGGGGTTGAAGGGTCTAGAATCAGATCATGAAAGGTTTTATTAGGCATCTGAGTTTCACCCTCTAAGCAGAGGGACAAGGAGAATTTCAAAATGGGAAACTGGCATGATTACATTCAGCCAAAATGTATTATATGCTCACTCTGTACCAGATGCTTAGACTATGATGGTAAACAAAACAGGTAAAAATACCCACTCACACGTGGAGGTAGGGTAAAGGGCAGACAACACTAAAACCAAATAAATTATAGAATGTGTCAGAAGATACTTGCTTTGGGGAAAAAAATAATGAGTGGAACCTGGTAAAGGAGATCAAGAGTACCTGGGGTAGAATGGGGGAGGCGGGGGGTGGTCTGACTGAGAAGGTACATGATCAGGATGCAATTAGATTTGTTTCCTAGGAATATCATTGCAGCAGCAAAGGTAGCCGGACTCGGAGTGTGGGGAAATCCTTGACAGAGAGAACAATCAGAAGGCCACTGCAGTCACAGTAACTAGGATCCGAGCAGGGACATGACAGAAGGATAGGGAGAAAAGATGGGGTTCAGCCAAGTGGAAGAATCAGCAGATTTAGTAACTTTCCGGATAAACACGAGAAAGTACCAAGAAGCAAGAATGGCTAACATTTTTAGTTTACACGACTAGGTCAATGTGATTATTTTCACATGTTTTAAATAATTTAGGCTGGGCATGGTGGCTCACAGCTGTAATCCCAGCACTTTGGGAGGCTGAGGCAGGCAGATAAGATAACCTGAGTTCGGGAGTTTGAGAGCAGTGTGACTGACCAACATGGAGAAATCCTGTCTCTACTAAAAAAAATACAAAATTAGTTGGGTATGGTGGTGCATGCCTATAATCCCAGCTACTTAGGAGGCTGAGGCAGGTGAATCGCTTGAACCCAGGAGGTGGAGGTTGTGGTGAGCCAAGATTACACCATTGCACCCCAGCCTACTCAACAGGAGCAAAACTCTGTCTCAAAAAAAAAGGAAAAAAAAGAATTTGATGATAAAGGAAGAAGCAGAATAGGATGGCAACTCAATAAGGACAAGAACTTTGCAGCCAGATAATGCAGTCTTTTTGCAAAGGCTTTGGGGGTGTTAGGACTTTATTTCCTGAGGTCATGAAGAACTATTGAGAGGAAATTTGCCGAGGTGGGAAGAAGAAACTTCATCCCCGGGTCAGTAGGCTGAGCTGCCAGAGCCAGGGGAAAGTGAGAGATGGAAGATGTCAGAAAAAGTTTAAGAAATGTATGAAACAGGGTGCTTAGGAAGGAGATGAAGTGGGATCTAAGTGCCCAGAAGTATAAGTGATCAGAAAATTTTATGCTGAGTGATTGAATGTTTGAACTGAGGTCTCCGATCACAAATGGCATAGATCAGATGTGGGCCTCAGGCAGATTAATCTAGCAGCAACGGGTAAAGTAACAGATTATTGGAGGCTGAAGGAGGAAGACCAAAGATTCAGAAGGCTTTAAGTACGGTTGTGGAATGGCTGAGGAGAGTGGTAACAAGAACACAGGTATGACAAGGAATAAAAAGGAAATCAGATCAGGAAAGTAAATGGCCTGAGGAGCAACGCTGAATTTGAACATTCTCCTCTTTAGATGGCATCAGCTGCTCCAGTTGGCATGCCTTCAACAATGTCAGCAGAGCCACACAGGTAGTGGTAATTGCGGGAAACCACAGCAAAGAGGTGTTAGATCCAGGAGAGAAGCAAAGTCTCCATAGTTCAGAGGTCTGATTCTCACAAGGTCACTTTCTGTTTCATACTCATGACTTTCCCCCTATTTCTTACGTTGGTGTACAGTCTTCTTGTTGCTTGTCCGGATTTTACAAGCCTGTATTCCCAGGCTTGGTCTCCTGCCTTCAAACCTGTATCGCATACTTTTACTAGAAGCCTGTTCCTTCTAGGAACTGCCAGTGGCTCCCCACAGCAAAAAGTAGGAAGCTCTAATTTCCTGTCTTGTCCTTCAGACAAGGCCAAGAATCACTTATGCAAGGTTTTTCCTCCATGAAATAACCTATTTTTATATTAAAACAACCTGAGTTATTATTCTCAACCTGAGTAAGCTGCTCAGAATAATCTTTTAGTACTTCTGTATGTGTTGTAGCTAAAATGAAATACTGCCTGTAGAAGCAGGCTCACCCTGGGATCTCTGGATCCCAGAGGGCTTCAAGGGGACAGGTACCTGCATGTGGTTGGAAGATTTCCTATCATTCTTTGATTCTCAAAACAGCCTAAAGGTGAAGTTTTTAAAGTATTCAGTTTGAGGATTCTCTGAGTTGAGTCAACTTAAAACATCTGCTAAAGGTTAAAGAGATTATATACAGAATCCTTTAAAAAAAAAGTCGAGATCGGAATTATTCAGGGTTGATACTAAGTTTGCTTCTCATAGCTGGCACTCAATGACTTATTAAATAGATAACTGGATAATTGCATTTGATTCAGTTCATTCACTCACATCTTTAGAGGCATGAAAATAAGTATCGCTATTTGTCTTTTTAAAAAAAAAAAGTGCCACGAGAACCAAAAGCCTGTTCCACAATCACATCTTTAAGAAACGGATACAAATTATTCTGAAATTGCCCCATTAAAGTAATGATATGAAATTAGAAGTGCCTTTGAAAAACCCAGAGTGGCAAGGAACAGAGGGTATTATAAAGGTGTAATTATAACTCAACAGTTAAATGAATCCTTAGTATTATGAAATTCATGATGTTTAGCTCTTTAGTTCAGTAGATTATTGAGCAGACTGGATCACATTAGATTTAGTTGATTTATATTTCAATCACCCCTATTACACTTTCCCCCAATTCATTTGATGATGGAGGCTAGCTTCGCCATTAGATAATGAAATTGGAAGGCTTAAATGTGAGGAAGGCTCGAGTGTGCCAACTTGTGAACATAGTTTGAAAAGGAAGGGAAGGCCGGGTGCAGTGGCTCATGCCTGTAATCGCAGCACTTTGGGAGGGCAAGGCAGTGGATCACCTGAGGTCAGGAGTTCGAGACCAGCCTGACCAACATAGTGACACCCCATCTCTACTGAAAGTACAAAAATTAGCCAGGCATGGTAGCATGCA